AAGTTTTCATAATTTTTAAAATCACTGGGACAACGAAGTTTAGTATTTCTGAACTAGATGCAGCAAAATTGTCAACATGTCAATGGATCGAGTTTTGAGAAACATTTGAAGGTTTTAACCGCATCACTACCAACCGAGATATAGGGCATTTTTCAATTTCCGGCCATTTTGAAATTTGCCCATTACTTTTTTATTCAGGAAAAGTCTGCATTCCGATAAAAACATTATTAGGTTTTTTTTTAAGGCAAATGCAGTGGGGTACTAAGATGTTCTTTACAGTTCTCCGTTTTCTCATAAGTGAATACAAGTTTCTTATTTTATATGGCAATCATAGTTCTCTATGGTATTAAAAAAAGCCCGTGTCGAACCCTTTTTAGCCATATAGATTTGTTGGTATCTGTGATAAACAAAGAGAGAAGTATAAGTCGCGCATAATAAGTTCAAAAAGACGTCAAATAGAAGCCTTTAAAATAACGTAATTAACACTAAAATTTACCCGAACTTTTGACAAATTATGAGAAATTATAGCAATGACTCAAGAAAAATAAAAATAAATTTGAAAATTCTGCCTTTTTTAAAGTTCAAAATATTATTGAACTACAAAATAATATTTTCAGATCGCGCCCTTCAGCGCAATGCTATTTATATTTAATTACAGCACACAGAGCACTAATAGGAGTAATTAATGAAAGTATAATATCCAGGGTGTTCCATTTGCTTTTCCACGAAAATTAATATTTTTCATTTTGACTCACCCTGTATAAACGATTCTAACCAACCTTACACTTTATAAAAACGTTGGTCTATTAAAATCAGAGCTTGCGGAAATGACGTCAAATATATAGAGTGTTAGACACGATCAATGTCATCATATACGGGATTTATTTATACAAGTTAATTTCCCACACTTTTAGTATCACCCGTAACTTTTCTATTTGACATTTTTCTCAAAACCATACAACAAACGAGATATATTACTTTGACAAACTGTTTGCACACCCTATATATTTTGTTAAACAAACAATTAAAAAAAAGAGAAAAAGATCCGTTTTCTGCAACAGCGTTCCGGGAAGAAAAACGAAACTCGGCAACTGCGCGAATCTTTCCCGTTCGCGAGTTGTAAAGTGTGAAAATTTCATCGACTCGATGGCTCGTATTTTCTACAAAACAACAAAACTCCGCTCCGGGGACACGAGATTGCTCCAGTATCGTTTACCGTTCACGTTACTCAAAACGAGAGTCGTGGGTAGCGGGATCTGCACAGAACGGATAAAATGTGTTAAAACTTCATTAAAGGAGTCAATTTTCCAGAACAATTCGGACGTTTATCGCCTGTTGCTTCGTTCTGACGGAGAATGTAATTTAAATTAGTTAAAGTTAGCCGGATATTTTTTTAAGCCAGCCATAATCGCCGGGGTGCCTTTATTGTTAGATATAAATTGGCGCACGCGGTCACAGAAGGTCCCAGGTCTCCCGATTTGTTAGTAATTGAAGGCCTCTCTTGAAGCTACGTATATATGTACAGTCTGTTGTCGAAACCCTGTATAGCGAAATTGAAGGATCTGCTTTTTCTTTGTTTTAAAGCGTTTTCGTTATAAAGAGAGAAACATATATGTTCTGTAATATTTAATTATTTTATATACATATTTTAACATCTACTTAGGAATATTTTATATAAATATTTAAGAACTACATTTAATGTTTCAAATAATCGAATAATCAAATAATCAAGCCATCTTTTCAATTTTTTTAGTACTTTGGCTTGTATTTTCACCATTTCTTTGAGAGGGGCATCTTCCCCATGATACTTACTGAATACAGGGCTTGTTGAATGGTTGGTGGTGGTCCCAGATCAACTTCTTCATCTTCTTCTTCCTCTTGGTGCTGTTCCTCACCCTTTCTTGCTTGTTGTAATATGGCTTCCCCTGTCAAGTCTGCTGTTGTAGGCAACACCTGATTTATTCCAAGCTTTTCTAATAAAGTTTACTGCATCTAGCATATTAATGGAAAATTTGTCTTCGGACTCGGTCATTTCCATTAAAATGGTTTTCCTGTATCGACTCTTAACACTTTTTATTACGCTCTGGTCCATCGGCTGTAATACACTCGTTGTTTTAGCTGGAAGAAAAGCCAAGTCAATATTCCATAGATTTGGAATATGGAGATGTGCAGAGCAGTTATCTAAGAGAAGTAATATTTTCCTCCCTTGTAATTCTGCGTCCCATTTCCGTATCTCCTCTTCAAAAATTTACGATGTCATCCATGCAGACTTGTTTGCCTTGTAAGTGACCGGCAAATGCTTGATGTTCTTAAAACATCGTGGGTTAGTTGATTTTCCAATCACGACTAGCTTTCTTTTTTCTCTTTTTTTTGGTAACTAGGTTTAAAGGCAATATGACATTCTAAAAATGTTATTAATGCTGCTGATGTACTAATGTACTAATATACTAAATAATCCACAATAATGACTATGTTTCCCTGTAAATACTATACTCTATATTATTTTGGGAAACCTTATTATTAATTATTAGCAGATTAACAAATAAGATATTTGGATTTAAATGCGTCTCTATTAAATTTAAATTTGTAACCCTACACCGGAAATTATAAATTCATTACTTCATGTTTAACAAAACTATAATAAAAACAATAAAAAACACATTTTTTTTATTAATCGTTGCTTAATTATTACTATAACAGTTTCCGCGTTTCAATTAAGAAATTTTGACAGACAAAAGTGTAATAAAAGTGAGGACTAGTACTGCGCGATGACATTTGATATATTGCGATTTGTACTTTGAGCATTATTTAAAATAAAATTAAATTAATTAAAAATTAATTTGTGTTGGTTTTATTTCTTTTCCTGAAGAATGGTTGTATATGAAGTATTGTGTAAATAAAAAAATCACCCTAAAATAACTTTGAGTGTTGATGAAAATATGGGAAAAATTAGAAATGCAACTTTTGCCATGAAATTTGATATGTGGACTTAAAAACAACTTTTTCAAAGAACTTTTTCCGATATCTTGAACGGGAAGCAAAATGCCGAAAATTAATAAAATTGAACGATCAACATGATCAAAAGTTCAAATCTGTATTTATTTATTCAGATAGGCTAAATGTAGTAGTGTATGATGTCACCCTGTACGGTTGAAACAATTCTCTTTTAAAATTTGATTTCAAATTAATAACTCAGCATTAACACATCTTTAAAATTGGTGTGTGTAAATTTTACTCTTGAAAAAATCAAGACGAATTGGTTAACAGCTCTGAAAAATTGTTTTCACATTTTAATGAGCTTATAATTAATCTACAACTGGTTTTGCATTAAGTAGAAGTAATATACGCACAATTTTATAGCAAGAACGGATGATTTATTTATCTGTTTTGTTGTTATTTGAATTTACTTTTTTGTTTAGTATTTCGCTAGAGCTAAAATTCTAAATTTTGTAAACTATAAAGTGGGAGTCCGTCATATCACTTTCAGCCCCTTTTGTACAGCATATCTTCTTGTCAAGTTATCTTCATTCATTCGGTTTTTAACAGTTTGAAACAGGGTCGAATATCTAAGCCAGTAAAGTCTCGGATAATCTTATGCCAGGAATGTTTTTTTCCCCAACTATGACACCGAACTTCAATCTTCTTCCACCAGCCATTAAAGGATGCAAACATTTACTAAATACCATTATACTTTTTTTTGTTATTAACTACAAAATAAGAATTTATAATCTGTTTACAATACATAAACAATTATTAAGTATTAATATGTAAAAATTGTGACATCTAGAAGATATTTATATTGATGTATCTCTTCTCTTAAACTACATGCTTGGTTTTAATTGCATGTATAAATGCATAATTAAATATAGTCACAAGGTCTAATGGTTTGGACCGTTTTAAGCAGCACACTTCACTAGCGTTAAATAGCTCACCCGCGTGCACATTTGGAAGTAGTTTTATCCTCTCACTCACTTTTATTTCATTTTTGTAGATCTTTTTCCATGACTTGGTTGGCCAAGTACCATGGGACCTTAACTGGGATTATTTTGAAATCTCTGTATTATTTTTAAGTTTGACGAGGACGCAGGTCTTCATAGTTGTATACCGTATGCTGTATGCAGTAGAGTTCTTGTCCTAGTTGTTGTCACTAATTGAATATGTGTGATCTCCATGTTGATCGTTTGTTTAAATGTATGCCCAGATACTTTACTTTATTTATTTAGTATTACTGGCGAACAATGGTTCTATCTGATTTATACTGTTTCGCAGGTCACTGGTAGCTGTTTCTGGGTTCTGGTGAGCAGCCAGTATTGCTGTATCATCAGGGAAAGTGGAGACTGCGGTTTGATTTGTGATTGGTAAGTCGGATATGAACTACAGGTACAGTACTGGTCCCGGTACACTTTCTTAAGTTACACCATAATTAATTTGGTTTATAACCTTATATTCAGATTGATGTTTTGCTAGGAAAAATCTGTTAAGATTTGATTATTTCGTAAAAGTGATGTGCTTCATGGTAGGCTTGGTTGATATCTATAAAAGCTGCGAAACAAAATTTTTCAGTCAGCTTCTGGAGAATTCTGCCAGTTATGAGGTCATATCTTGGTACTCTCAGTCCATAGTGCACGATATCATTGTTGGGGAATGTTATGTTGTAATTCATGTTGTTGTAAATAAATTATTACTTGTTACTGACTTACTTAATTAATTTAAAACTAAAAATAAGGTAGGGTAAAGAGTTAATATTCAAAAATATCTTTGCGGACCATAAGCGATTTAGATCGACATAATGTTATTCCATATGTGTGCGCCACGACGAAGTCAAGGAACTTGAGGTCGTCTTCTCGGTGGCATTGTGACGCCCGCCTAATTTCTTCATCCTTAAAAAACGTTTTACGAAAGTAGGAATTTCAATCGCGTATCGGCGCTCTGATCTCCCACCTCCTTAAGGAAATTTTGTTGGTATATAAACGTCCAAACTGCTCACCGAAAGTATTATTTGATCCAAACATCAGATACACCAAAACCGATCGACATGTTCAAATTGGTAAGTGGTCTTTGAAAGTATTTTCGGTATCATCTGCCAAAGACATTTTTTACCAATCAAAACTAATTGAAAATGTTAGCAAAGTGGTTCAGAGACAACGAACTCGCATTATATGTAAGGTTTTAAGTTTTACGAGCAAAACGAATCCTAGTACAAATTCTCGATTTCGATCACAATCGAGTTAAGGGGTGTTGTTTTATTGCTATACGCTACTTAACTTTTCTGTTGCTCGGTTAAGGTTGCAGTAGGTTTTGTTATCCACGACAAATTTTATGGGGTCCACAAATACTCGATTCAAGTTGAGCAAAGGTGTCCCTTAAAGTTACTCTCGTTTTCCACGTCTCCTCTTTAGGAACTTGAATGCAAAAAGACTGGACAAATTTTGCTGTACACCATCGTTAATTACCTAATTAACTGCCCTTTTCTGTTATAAAATCCCGTATATATGACATACAAAAAAAATCATTGTTCAAACAGCTCTTGGAACTTGTTTTGGTTGGGTAGGCCGGATAGCAAGTTATATTTAAGGATACTCCATTTAGTTAGGCTTGAATTTGCTGGAAATAAAAATATATTGGCGTTTGAAAGATATATTCTTTGCTCTAAGTTGGAACTTACGGAGAAGCAAGGTGATAAAGGCAATTTTATTTAGTTGTTGTTTATTTTTTTGTGATAACTTGCAGATCGCGCCATCTGCACACGCTTTTTGCAAAAATAACCTCATTTTTTGTATATTCTCAAGTGTAATTTCTCATAAGACATGGTCATTTTTATCTTGTAAGTAAAAAAGGCATAATTGTTGCTAAACCGTTTTCAAAATATTTACATATTTAAGTCGCTGTGTAACTCAATGTAACCCAAATAATACCCGACTCTTAATTTATTTATTTTTAAATGAATTCACTAATAGCTGTCAGTGATTACCAAAAAACAAAAAAAAAAAGAAATCTTTTCAAGAACACCCGATTGTGTTACTAATGAAAAACCAAAACGAAGAAATTGATATACCTAACCGTAATCAAATCAAATTTTACTTAATTAACGAACTTAACAATTATTACAAAAAAAACAATACCTAACAGAAAGGTCATTTAATTCGTTCAATGAACGATTGTCTTATTTAAATAGAGAGTTTCTGAGAGAATTTTATACAAAAGTTTCTCACGACTGTTTATTTGGTCTTTGTAAATCACGGATGCAAAAACAAAAAATTTTTGCATTAAAATCCGGATTTCTTCTAACAAGTTATATTCTATTTATATTTAAAGATATGTAGGTACTCAGCTAGGTTTAAATTTTTCATCGATTATTTTATATACAAGGTATTTCAAAACGAATGGGTGATAGGATACAAGCATATTATTTGTTCTAAAGCCAAAACCTGCGGAGATACAGGGTGATAAAAAGTAAATTTATATTACTTGCGTTCGTGGTTCTGAAAATATGGGCACAAAAATTCTGCGATTAAAAATAATGTGCTACAATTCAGTTTGGCGATAACTTATAGATGGCACCACATGTACACACATTTTTTGCAAATTTTCAATCATTTTTGAGATATTTACATTTTCACTCCGTAACCAAAGTAACCAATAAATTTATTTTTAAATGAAAATAAGTAAGAAGTAAAAGTTCAGATTTATATTTTCACATGAAAATTGTTTCGACAACGCCATGTGTTTATCAAACGTGATAAAGACACGGTGGTTATTTATTTTGATAAATGGATTTTCATCAAGTAAAAGCCACCTACCTCAGTTCAATTTTTAAATGAACTTGCAGTGAATACCGAAAAAGAAAGAAGAGTTTCGACGGCAAAAAACAAGCTATTGCGTTTTCTATTACAATTACTAATGAAAAGCCAAAATATGGAAAATTTTGGCAAATCAAATCAAATCTTATTTAATTAATTACCATAATAAATATCACAATGCACGTAGTAAATATTTTAGGCAACCACACATTTTGTAATTCGTTTAACGAAGGACAGTCTTATTGTAAAAATTAAGTTTTTGATTCAGACAGTATCCAGAATTTTAAAAATTGAACTGAGGTGGCTCATACTTAATGAAAATCCATTCATCAAAATAAATAAGAACTAAAAGTTCAGATTTTCACGAAATTATATATTATGACACATATCACATTTGATAAATCACGGTGTTGTAGAAACAATTGTCATCTCATAATAAATAATTTCGTGAAAATTTGAACTTTTAGTTCTTATTTATTTTGATTTCCAGAATTTTAAGTCAAAGTCCTTCAAGACTTTCTTTTTTTTGCAGTTTGCCACCGTCTTCGCCGCCATCTTGGCTTTCGCTGTAGCTGCACCGGCACCCGAACCTAAACCCGGCCTGCTTGCGGCCGCTCCAGTGGCGTACAGCGCGTACAGCGCGCCGCTCGTGAGCGCATACAGCGCACCAGTCGTTAGCGCTTACAGCGCACCTTTGGTGGCCGGCTACGCTTCTCCGTACGCTTATTCCGCTTACGCTGCTCCCGCTTACGTCTTGTAAATGGCGACTGTAGGTTATTAGCACGGCGACGGCGCATTCTCCCGGCTGATCCGCAAGGTTAACGATTTGGACTTTATGATTTCGAGACTTTTAGTTAATAAATTCTGTAATATAAACCATTCGTTGCTTCATTTATTGCGTATGTTATTTTGTTTATTAGTTATGGAAAACATTACATTCACCATAAATAATGTGGAGCATTTAAAAAAGTTACGAACAAATATTTAGGGGCAAGATGAAAAATGAGAGGGATGTAACAAAGTGGACGACTGAATAAGAAAATGAAACATGACAAAACCTTTTAATATTCATTTACAGTAATATTTTTAACTATTTTTAGATGTATTTTAAGCATCTTCATATTACCTACAGAGTTTCACTTTCTTAACTTTTCTATTTTAGCTATAAGGTACAAAAATGGAGATGTAATAGGAGGTATATAATGGATATTTCGCAGTGTGGTTACCTACGACATGTAATAAATCTAAACCAATAAAAGTTCAAGTACGAATATGAATAAATCTCACGAGGGATGGAGCGTAATACATATTATGATTTATTACAGTGTGTTGGTTTTAAGCGATACCACTAATGCTGTTTCCGCTCGCGCTAGTGATTTTTTGAGATTTCTAATAGATGCAGATTTAGTGGGCCAAATCAATAGGTTCTTCCCTTCGTTAACAGCGCCAGAATTACTAGTAAATTAAAAGTTGCACACCGTAATGTTAATCGACATTATCTTTCACAGACACTAAGAAGCTTCAATAATGTGATTAAGGCTTTCGCGGCCAGCGTTTGAACTGTAAGTGTTTTTGTTCGGGCTTAATGGCCGTCGTTGTCGACGTTTAACGCATGAGTGTTTGTGACTACCGGGGCTGTCCTTGTGTTCCTTAAGATGGGGTTCCAAATTTGTTTGAGCTGCAGTGTCTCTTCTTTTCTATTGAAATTATTTGTATGTTTATGATAGCCGTTATGAAAGCCGACGACTATAAACGCAAAATTCAAGATCCTCTTGATTCGTCAAGCTACCGAAAATTGAGTAGGGACCCAACACAAGCAAAACTCCGGAATACCAACAAACTAATCAAATCTTCCACTCTACCAGATGCGACACAGAGAATCCTCATAAGAACAGAAGCTGTATCACCACGACTCTATAGCCTGCCGAAAATCCATAAGATTGATGTTCCATTAAGACCAATAGTAAGTGCACCTGGATCACCCACGTACAGCCTAGCCAAACACCTCGCATCATTGCTCCAACCCCACGTAGAAAATTCGGAGTCGCATGTCAAGGACTCAACACACTTCATCAGCAAAATTCAGGACATAATTCTCTAGGACAAACGCCATTAGAGTTTATCAATATTTTTGCTGTTAACTCGTCTACAAAGATATTATTTTTAAATCTAGTATTCTGTTTATTACTACTGGTTTCTAATGTCGGCAGTGGGTCTTTATTAATTCTTTTAGAAGTGATATTGATATTATCTATTATCATTTAATAGGGTATAAGATTTTTCGACATACTTATTCATAGCGACTGTGAAATTTTAGGAGTACCTTTTAAATATTTTTTAGTGTCTCTTTCTACTTGGGCTGAAGGTGAACCATTGTTATTGTTACCGCAGCTTTGGCACGTACTAAGTCTTGTTGTTCAGGGTCAATACTTTGACCAGCAGACTCTAGTTCTGATAACAATTTATAAATTTTAATATTTTTGTTAGCCACCCGTCAACTGAATTTTGGTCCTAACGCTAGGAAGCCCTGAATATGTTCAAGTAAAAAGGAAAAATTGAATACTCTCATACTGGACAATTTTCAAAATAAGACTAGAACATATTTTCTGAGGATGGTGAATTCTTGAAAACGTTGTATTATTATTGCCGTTGTATTTATTCTGCAATAAAACATCGCAAATATCTTAAATGGCAATGGAAGTGTCATCCGCATATAGCGTGAAAGATGAACTTCTAGAAGTGGTTTCTACATCATTGACATATAATGCAAAAAGGAGTCTATTCAGTTAATAACAATCCCATATGGTGACAACTTTCCCAAAAGAGTGCGGAGATTACCACAGTCAAATGCAAAATATCCCAAAAGGGCACTCTCCCGATTCCAGGCTTTTCATTAAATTACCGCAAACGATCACAAAATCCAAATTGGTTTAAAGAAAGTTCCCTTCAAGAAAAAGAATCAATCTTACAAGATATTCCAATACTCAAGGCGATAATTTTCAACACTACACTTGTTTGTGTATTGGAACTACCTTGCTCATTGTTAACTGCTGGGCAAACTGGTGCTAGAAAATTTGGAAGTTTGGAGCGTTTTATTCGAAAAACAGGACTTTTCTTAAAACTAAAAACAGTCAGTCGATTTTATATGGCTGAATCGTTGATTCAGCGTCTACTCAGCAGGATGCGTCCGATCTAGGGATATTTCTCGCTGTTTGGCTGCAGGGTACTCAAGAAAAAACTCTTTTACACATTCGTTTTAGAGGTTTAAAACCGTATTCTTTCTAAATATCACTAACATAGCAAAATTTACTATTATCTATTACTCTAATAAACTCACAACCAAACTCGTCTTTTTATTGAATGCAAAAGGTTGTTATTCGAGGTCTTATAAACCTTTAATATGTCCACAATTTTTAATAATTGTACCACCATAAATATACCATCAAATAAATGACCCGTATTTACGCCAAGCAAAATTTTATTTCAATCCGTTTTTACAATCCGAATGGTTCAAATTAGACGACAACCAGAGGCGCGGAGTAGGCTGAGTATGCAGAATACGCAGGGTAGGCAGCGTAAGGCGAGGCATAACTTGCGTACGCCACTGGTGCACTGTAGGCTGCTAGTGCGGGCGACGCCACCAAGGGCGCGCTGTAGGCCAGCACACCAGGTTTTGGTGCAGGTTTCGCTTCGGGAGCGGGAGCCGGCGAAGCGAAAGCGAAAGCCAAAATGGCGGCGAAGACAATCTGAAATTGAATTGGAAACTTGAAGTATTAAAAAATGGCACCAAGTTCCACAGAATCAGATAAGTATGACGAATGTTCCCACCAAGAAAGGCTGGGAAAAAATCAATTTAAAATAGATGCTAATTATTTGAAATAAGTGTTAAATTGCGCATATATTTAAAATTTTAAGAGATTGTAAGAGAGGAGCAAATGTGCATTGAAATTTAGAGTCTAAACATTCATTTCGAATAATTCAATTAATTACTCGTATTAGGTAAATTTTTAAATTTAAAAATGTTTCCTTTCTTTCCATTAATTTAGGAATTCTTTCTTAAAGCCCAAAATATTGAATTAAAATCTATATTTGACAGGCAATTTGTTGAAATTCAATTTGAAAATACAGTGAATGGGCAAGTTAGAGCAGAGGTTGAAAAATATGTTACGAAATATCACAAACAAAATGCGGCAGAGAATGTGGTTCTTTCTCCATGCCCACCAGGGTACGAACTACAAAAATGGACTATTTAAGGATATGTTAAACACCAAAAGTATTCCCCCACAACAAAAGTGGACACAGAGAGAGGAAAAGAGACGAATTGTAAAGTGCTAGTCATGAAATACTAGCGAATATTGCTCATCGCTTAAAGACGTTGTTAGAGCGTGTATCGAAGTCGGGGGAGACAGTTCGAGCAATAAATAAAGTGAGACTTAATTAAACAGGTCTATTTTGTTTTGTTTTTAGTGTTTTTTTCTGGAACTATTAGCAGTTAGCAATATTTCATTTTTCATATTATCCCTAGCGTAAAATGCTGCTTAATTTTTTGCGCAATTCATAATTTTAATTTAATATTTCCCCACTACGTTTTGTATTAACGTGTAACTAACGCTATTTTCTAATAGAAATATACTTAATTCGTTTCTATACATTTTTCCATTTGTTCTCAATCTTTTGTGACAGTGAAAATTTTCAGTATTTTTTAAATCTAATTTCATATTATTATTATTTGTCTTATGTATAACTTTTGTATTTAACATTTTTCTATAAAACTAATCATAAAGGAAATGTATTATTTTGACACCTTGTATATACAGAGTGTTAAGTTCAATAAGAAAAGAAAAATAATTTTCTTGTATTATCACTCAATTGTATACAGGACGGTCAAATAAAGTTATATATTTTTAAATGAAACAACCAACATTTTTTTACATTTTTAAATACCGCGAATCTAGGGATAGATCTATGTATCAGTCTCTAAGCATCGTTATTAGAATATTGTCCGAATTCATAGCATATTGACTTTTTAAACATTGTTCGGTGTAACATATTTTAGAAAAAATACTTCTTCTCAGAAAATATTGAAAATTGGAATATTTTAATCAAATACGCAATGTTATTTCTCTCTTTTTTTTTAAATAAAACACCCGGTATATTTGTGCAAGACGAATTAAACGATTTACATGTACGATGCACCGTTTCGAATTTATTGACGATTTTAATCAATTCCCAAGTAATATTAACCTTAATTCTGAAAGCCTTTCTATTATTTTTTTACGAAATTGCTGCATAGTACTGTAAAAATTATGGATAATTTTATATTTGAAACAGTAAGTAAAATAAAATTAATAATTTTATATTAAGTTTTCAATAATGAAAATGATTTATGGCTTTAATATATAATTGGCTTTAATTGGTTAATTGCATCCCGAATTTGTTGTTGTAATGCAAAAACTTCTATGGGCTTATCTCTCTATACGATCTCTTCAAAATTTAAATTTAAAATTTTTAAAAAATGTTAATTTATTAAGAGGGTATCTAAATATTTAATAAAATAAATAAAAAAATACAACTTTATATGACGACTCTGTATGCAATTGAGTGACAATTGAAATAAAATTAAAGGTTACTAGAATCAACTTTTGTATTCAAACTTTTTTATATAGCCCCTCTTTGTACCTTAATCTAGAGAAAAAAGAAAGTTTATTTTACACTGTGGCTCGAGGGAAATCCGCTAATACCCCTCAGATTTCCACTTTATCACTGCGATTTGCGTCCCATAGAAATGATATTCAAACTAAGCTTTAATGCTGCTAATTCTGCAATATGCAGATAGAGAAATCGGTAAATTGTGCGAAGAAAAATTAAAATAGGCGTACCTAATAGGCGGACTTAACAGGTTTAAAACAATTTAATACTCACAGCTTTGTACATTTTTTCTGTTGGTTTGTTTAGTCGTGAAGTGGAACTAATGCTGTTCAACAATTATCGGGTGGTATTTATACAAAAAGTGCAATAATGTTGTGACACTGCTTAAGGTCGTTGTTAGCTGACGGCGGGCTTGACCAGCATTTTAAGTAGTCGTTTTGATGGCCCACGTAGATTTTGGCCCATTTTAAAATTCGTAAAGATTAATGGTTTGGATAAAAAAGCGTTTTTCTTTTAATGCGTCCTGCGGACAATGCATATGTCGTTCGCTAACCGTTTGCGAAAATGGCCGACGAACCGCACTTTGTCGCAGAGAATATTTCTATAAATTGATATTGGTTTTGAAGATAATGAATCTCAAATTATTGGGTCACAAATTGCAAAGCTTGCGTTAGTTTTTAAAGCAAGACTATTGCAGCGATTTCGTTTTAAAGTTTTAGATGCCAAAACCAAAACTGAGATAGTATTTCGCTGGGAATTTGCTTTATCATAACTAAATCTCTGTTCAAAAAGGCTTCATCTGTTTGATCTACCAAATTACGTCAGAGAGTGTGTTTTAGCTTGTCTCATGTGTCAACATTTTCAATATTTACAATGGTCAGTAAGTTTACCTACTAAAGAGTTTAGTAATACATGATCGATTAACGATTAACGATTGACATGTTGCTAAATAACGATTCAAGTCATTTGGGTTACTGTCAAAATTTGGTACTCAATTGGAATGTTCTGGAATTGGAATTTCATTGTCGTGAGAAAAGTTATCAATTGAATGGTTAGTTTGATGTGTAAATAATGTTTCTGGATTTGAAGGTCTACTTAAACGCAAATTGCCTAACTATGTCGTCAATACTTGCAATTAAATTTTCAATCATACTTAAATTAAGATCAGTGGGTCAAATGTGACCATGCTTCTTTATAAAGATTCGATTTCTGAATGCAATTTGGTTCCTGTCAAATGTCAGATTTTCATTGTTCGGAAAAACTATACGCTGATTCAACCCAGATCCATTAGTGTCACGGCTAATCCGATTGAAACAAAACAAAGACTTCGCTTGCCGATTTTTAAAAATAATAATCGTCCTATGTTGCGAGTTTTGCACACTTAGCAGGTTTTCAGGGTGTATGGTAACATAACGTTGCATTTGAAATAAAATCTGGGCAATCTAAATAAATACATAAATACCGGTACGCATTTTTCACATTTTTTAAGATCCCCCACTAAAATTTCAATACTTTGTTTGGCGTTATAGATATCGCAGCCTTCCTTCAAAAGTGACCTAACTTAAAAAACAAACTTCCCAGAAAACATTTAATAAAAACAATTAAAGACGAAATAAGCGTAAGTTTTAAATAAGACTAATTATCTGGAGTTTAAAAATAAACATTTTTGATTTGTGTCACTTTTAAGGAAAAAAAACCTTGGCTAAGAGAAGGTGTTTTGCATTGTGAAGTTTTTGGAGATTTTTTTGCAACGTTATGACATTTTTGCAGAAAAAAAAATTAAAAACCCAGCCATATTTTTTAAGAATTAAAATGTTTCATTAAAAGATTATCTGCCTTTCCAAATAAGCCACGGCCCAATAATTATGAAACAGATTTTCCTCATTTCCCTCATTTCCTCAGTTTTCGATTTCGAGCTTTAAATTTACGGTTTTCCACAATTCTTAAGTTTCTTACTTTTCTTAACTTTCCATTCTTCAGGGTTTCTTAGTCTTTTGTTACTTTGTTTCTTCCTTGTGTTCATTGCTTCGTCATCGGTCTGGATTCTAGGGAGTTGCAACAGGAAAAGTGGGACCAGCATCGCAATCATTTACACCAAAACTGTTGTAACTGTAGATCACCTTAAATTGCTTTTCATTGTTTTTCATAAAAAAAGACACAATTCAAAATAAAACACCTTTGACGAGTCTTTACGCGCCTAATCCTGCCAAGATTAGAAATCAAATTAATAAAAGGGCCCTTTGACAAAAACCATTTACTTGCGTTTTGTTCTTTAAAAGTATAAAGTTAATTTAATACGGTATTGTTGAGAAATGAAGTTTTCTTTTCGCTATAGTCAAAAATCGCCATTTCAACTACTAAAGCAGGTGTGCGATAAATATTAAATTATATAAATTGATTTAAACAAGTTGTGCTGACTATTATTCTAACCTCACATTTTCATGACAAAATTCTCATTTTTGGTTTCTTCATTATTACTTCTAATTTAATAGTTTCATAGAATTGTTTAAAGATTTTTATGGTTTGAGATGGCGGTTTGTTTCCCACAGCCTATAGAAACCTATAACCACGACTCAGGTTTCAATATGTCAACAATATGGGAATGAGTCATGCCCCTCTTTTAGCTCCGCCACCTCAAACAATATATAAGCAGAGTAGAATGTGAGCCAGTTTCAGTTAACCTCTGAAGAAGCCAATATAATAATTGGCGAAACGTCGTTCCATTCAAGTACAGCCGCCGCAGGATGAACCCAGAAAATTTGTAAATGTTTATTACATTATAGGGTGGTCCGTTAAAGAGGGGCCTATACCTTATCTCGAAATCTACGGGGGTTACAAAAAAATGTAAATACAATAGTTGTTTCTATTAAAATGACCTTATTTTTCTTATTTTCCTAATCGGGTGGTAAAATTAATTTTTTTTAAATAGAACACCCTATATTTTATTGAATTTTTGGATAGTCTTTTCAAAGACAAATTCAATGATATATATGCGTATGGGTCTGTGTTGCACCGTTTCGATCTTATTAGCGAACATTTTCAGAATTCGGGGAATTTTTAAACCATTGTTGTTGGGTTGCTTATAAACTTTTTAAACTTTATTACATCTAATATTTTTACGAAAACAATGCTATTATTTAAGCAATGACCAAATTTAAAATATTTTCCGTAAATACGCGGTGTTGCCATTTGTTCGCAACTACTGTTATATTTTGACAAATATATTTTTCCCTGGCAATCGCCTATGCGGAAATTTGGCTCTATATTGTCTGGGAGCAAGAGTCGAACTTTTGTTATTGGCGATGTAACATTCTAATAGGTTCAGTTTTCCCTTCTTCGTTTACACTATACATAACAGACTCAGCAAAAATGTAACTTAATGAAATAAATATAAAATAGTGTAAGTACAAAAAAATACCTTTAGAATATTATAATATACTGATACTTGTTAAAAAATCAGTAATATTATCACAACAGAGAACTGCTAATGTTTTCAAAGAATTTTATGACTATGTTAAAAAGGTCAAAATTAATAATATCATCAATTTTGTGTTTGTGTCTTTCAACAGGCAGGTTTCTATATATTTTTTAAAAACATGTGGTCCATATTATTAAGATTATGAATGTTTTATTTTTATTTTTTATGCATTTATGCAAAAGGGGTAATATAATTGAAGTTGCTATTAAAGTGGCAATTCGGAAATCCAATAATGTACAGTGTTTCTCATTTAAGAAAACTGAGAAAAGTGTCATTTTGCGAAACGTTGCAACACCGCGTATTTTAAGAAAATATTTTAAATTTGATAAAATGATGGTTGAAATATAACCCCAATTCTGAAGATCGCTAATAAGTTCTAAGTGGTGCATCACAGACCCATACTCATATATATCGTTGAGTTTGTGTTTAAGAGGACCATCCACAAATGCAACAAAATATAGGGTGTTCCATTAAAAAAAAAAAACTTTGATTTACCACCCTGTATATAAAAAAGTGCTGATTACTAAAATAAAAAAAATGTAATTTTAATAGAAACGTCTTTTGTATTTATTTTTTTTTGTAACTCTCGTAGGTTTCGAGATAAGGTAGAGCCCCCTCTTAAACGGGCCACCCTGTACATATTTTTCAAGACATAAATATGCGAATAAAATTCTTTTTCCAGGTTAATTATTTCTAAGTTCTATTTTAAACTTTTCAATAGAACTGCTACGTTATGTTATCTTAGCACAAAAAAAAAATCTCTATGAACAGAAATCAACACCTAGTAAATTGTATTTTTTTAGTACATTTATTTGCTTTTGTGCAAATCAGTTGAACAAATAAATAGGTTAAACAATAATTAAAGTTTCCGGAAAATATTTTTTTTGAGTCACTTACGGCTTTTCAATCTTAATAAATCAAATAAAATACTCTTAATTTTGACGGACATGTTTGTTTGATATTTTTTGTATGCCACAGCGGCGTCCTTATGCGTGAGGTCGTTTTCCAACACCATTTCGATGCGAGCACCAATCAATCCCTAAAATGTATTCTGTGCACATCTGATGTTGCATAACTTCCCAATTAGGTGCCCAATGAGAACAATATTCGATACGTTGACCAACGACATAACGGCGGTCGATGTCATATACAGGGTGGTCGCAAATGGAACGTTTTAACAGGAATAACCGATTAATGAACTAAGTGGAGCAAAATCGACTTGCATGTCAAGGGATGGATTTCTGTGAAATATTTAATGGTTAAAATGGAGCGTTTTTCCATTTTCGGCCATTTCGAATTTTTTTTTAATTTTTTAAAGCAGTTCTAAATGAATACAACTTTCTTATTCCATATGGCAATCATAGTTGCCTATGTTCACGTCACTTCAAACCCTTTTCAGCAATATAGATTCGTTGATATCTGCAATTATAAATAGCTTTTTAGTAGAGTATCTTTTAAGCTACACCGCGCCGGAGTTGTCTTGACAATTTTTTTGTATACTCTTGTTGGCATTTATTGTTATTATTATTATTACTGTATTTTTATATTAGGTTTAAATATTATTTTTATCATTTAATTTTAATAATTCTGTCTATTTAAAAGGCAAAATTATTTTATTCTAACATAATAAACAAAACACAATAAATGTTAGAATACAAAATACTAAAACTTAAAATTTTACATCAACGGCATTGAAATATTTTAAAGTAGGCGTTGAAAGTCAATACAATAGACGCACCTTTTTAGTACTGAATGTCAACTATTCACTAAGTCTACAGGATCGACGGAAGCAAACGCTTCTCGATTGGCTTTCTCTAACTTTGTTTTGGTTTGGAAAATTCATTTTTTAATAAATAGATAATAATAATAATAATAAATAAATAAATAATAGAGCACGTTACGGGATCGTCGAGAATATAAAATAAAATTATATTACATCGTAATGTACAATACAAGCTGATGAAACGGACCAATATAAGTTAAAAAAATATACACTTCAGGTAGAGAAAACATGATACAGAGCTTTTATAATAATAGATGGTTGAAAAAAAAAAACAAAACATTGCATTTTCCAATAAACCAGTTGCAAAAGTGTGCTTCTACCGACTTCTTCTTCATATAATTGCTGGATTTTTCTGTTACTGGATATCTCTCTCTCTCTCTCTCTCTCTCTCTCTCTCTCTCTCTCTCTCTACGGCACCAATATTTTCGGAAAAGTAATCCAGATGTGAATGCAAGAAGTATTTTATACTCATATTGCATTATATTTCACCCTTGCAATCTTTTCAGATTCTATCACGGTATTCATAAGGTCTTGATGTTCAATCCAGTACCTGTCTATTTCTATTGTCCCACTCACACAAAAAATAGGAGTACTTTGCATATCCTGACTGCTGACCCAGTAGAAGTCCCACAGTTTTTTACTCCTCACACGCCATGGGACGACAGCATTTAATATAAAGTGTATTGTTTAATTTTTTCAAGCAGTACTTCCAGATTTTTCTAGTATTCTTTCATTTGGACAGAATGACCAACAGGTACAGAACCAAGAACATTTACATTGTCCAAAAGAACAGCTTCAGGCTTCTCTTGGATGAGCTAATAAAAACCTTCCAGTCTTGATCAGATTAGAAATATTTTTTTAAAACATCCTATAAATTCTGTCTTTCTTGTTAAGAAACACTCCATATATCACCAACATCACTAAGGGTATCTTCATTTAATTCTGGTTCAGAAAAACTGGTCGTATCTTTTTGTAAATTGAATTGACTCTCAGGTATTGGGACATCTGGGCCTTGTGGCATTTTCCTAATTGCAAACAAAAGGTTCGGATAAACAATGTTTTTCAAATATTTAGTATTATATCCGCAAACATTGCATATGCAGAAATAGCAACCATTATGGTGATTTATTAGCTTTCTCCTCATCATAGGTGTTCCAAAAGGTAAGGAGCGCTTGTTTCCATTATTGTAATGTCTTAAACCTTCTTCAATTTTTAGAACATCAAAACATTCTTTGAAACGGAATAAAAATAGGTTTTCAGATTTCATATTTTAATGAAACAAAAACAATGGTCCAATTAGATTTATAAAACAACCAATGGCGCAGAGTATGCCGAATATGCAGGGTAAACAGCTGGAGCCGCATAACCAGCATACGCGAGAGGGGCTGAGTAGGCAGCAGTATAGGCAACCGCAGGAGATGCTACCAATGGGGCGCTGTAAGCGAGTAACCCGGGCTTCGGTGCAGGTGCAGCTTTGGGGGCTGGTGTTGCGGCGGCAAACGCCAAAATGGCGACAAAGACAACCTGAAATAACCCATTAATAATAAAAAAATCGTTACAAATCAATCAGAAAGCAATGAACTTCACAATCTCCCTGAATATAAATAAATTATATTAAGCTTATAAAAAATCTGCACCTAGAAGAGATGAACTATCTGTTAAAATTTGATAATAGAAAAACCTGAATCACGAATAAATAAGACAGTAGATGTATAGTGCCGATATAAGCAACAGAAACCGTACATAACCTCAATTTCCTAACCCCCCCGCAGCGGGGGCCCCCCGCGCGTGGCGTCCTAGTGTCCCCCCTGTCTACCAGAGTGCGCTCCGCCCCCCACCCAGCTTGTGTAGCGTCCTGTTTTGCCCCGGTTCCGCCCGTCGCTGCTAGATGTCGCGCGCTTGTGTCGCCAGCTTGTGTAGCGTCCTGTTTTGCCCCGGTTCCGCCCGTCGCTGCTAGATGTCGCGCGCTCCGACCGTCGTAGGCCCCCCCGGTAGAGGGCGGTGACGGTGCGGCGCGGTGACGCGGTGGATCGGGAGGATAATTAAATAAACTTGAATTTTAATACATTTTATTTTATTTTATTTATAAAATTGGTCTGGCGAGGAGTTTCTTCTTCTTTTTATGTCGATTCAGTCGACCATCCCATTGTTCCTGTTCCTTGCGTTGTTCTTCTTCCCGTTCCCGGAGGAAATCTAAATACGAAGTGCACTCCTCGCCGTCCCACTCCGTCGACCACCCACCCGGGTACTCCTGCTGCTCCTTTGTTTCTTTTGATCCACCGGGTTGCTCCTGCTGCTGGTGATGTTCCCTTGTCGTTTCATGTCGTACCGGGAATTCTAACCCCCGGTACTCTTTGTGTGATTTGAATATGTGACGCCCTAAGCGATGCGCCAACATAATATGCGACTTGTCATACGGACAAACCGCGATTTTTTCTAGAACAAAACAAAGTATGATATGTAGCGTTTCCTATAAAACACACATTTTTTTTTTAAACAAAACTTCCAAAAAGGGGGGTTATCAAATAATTTTAAAAATTGTTTTTTAAGTTATACGCGCATACCAAAATTCACGTTTCAATTCACTGTCATTTAAATGTAAGTGTATTATTGTCAAAAGGGCAAACTGCAATTTTTTAGTACAAAAAATAAACAAAAATATGTATATATTTCGCGTTTTCCCCATAAAACGCACATTTTTGAAACAAAACTTTCAGTAATTTTAAAAATTGTTTATTTTTTAAAAGCCAAAATTCCCTATTCACTGTCATTTAAAAGATATTAAAAACGCTCAATTTAATTCGATTATTATTGTCAAAAAGGCAAACTGCAATTTTTTAGTACAAACAAATTTAAAAATTGTTTATTTTTTAAAAGCCAAAATTCCCTTTTCCATTCACTGTCATTTAAAAGCTATTAAAAACACTCAATTTAAATCGGTTATTATGCAACGTAAAAAAGATGAGTATCATATTTTAAAACAGGTAGAAACTAACCAAAAAAGTGATAACCCAAACTGAAACCCACAAGAAAAGACGCGCACTGTATAAAGGTAATTAAAATATAAAACTTACCAGTTGTAGGGTCGTAGGGAAATGGACATCGCACTTCTGTATTCATTGCACTGAATATAGTCTATAATACACATGCACTCCCTTCCATGGTTGAATTAAAAGTCGAAAGGTCTTCTACCCACAAGCACCAACGCCGATTTGAATAGACGCGATGTTGTCGCCAGACAACCGTGCAGGTAGAAGTCTCAAGGTCAACACGCTTTCACACGGGAACGCAACCGTTTCGGACGTTGGACGAACGTATGTTGCCGCAAAAGATCAAGGCCAACTTGCTTTCATTTTTTACAATCTCCGTATGGGATGTGGAATTTCAAAACGCGCCGAGTCTAAATGTCGAGTTGTTTTGCTTGTTGAGAATAATAATTAATTGCCCCCTTTATATTTGCTCCGTGGGATTAACGTAATGGGAAAAATTTGTTGCAACGCATGTGGAGGTGTCTTCGTTTGTTAACTTTTAGAAAGTATTCTCGCACCGTATAAATACATCTCATTTTTCTCTGTTTTGTCAGTAGTTGTTTTTGGTATTATTCGTGCAACGTGGAAGCTAACTTAGTGGTTTGGTGTTCGTACAAAAAAGCAGTAAGTACCTTTTTTATTGTCTTATTTTAATTCTTTAACATTTGTTATTATTTTATAAAGTTCCTAAAGATCATCTTAGTACTCTCAACCCGTAACCGCAAATAGAATAGCAGCAATCTTAAGCGTAAGTTTTTTTTATTTTTTTAATTTTGAGATAAAATAATTAATAATAATTTATAGATGGACTTAAGTCAACTGAATCAAACCTGTCTTGCAGAAGGTGATTTTGAGCAGCCGATTGTCAAACTGCATGAATTGCCGATAGGCGTTCCGTTTAAAATTACTAGAGCCAAAATTGTTAATACAAAATTTGGCAATTCCGTGTTGCTGCAATTAGAAAATTCCGTAGTATTTCTTCCTACTCGCGTGACAGAAGCTTTCCGTCCGAGACTAGAACACTTTGCGTCGGGGCAGTACAAACTGGTCTACGAGGGATCCAAAGATATTGGAAAGCCCAACTCTTTAAAGAAATTCAAAATAATTCAAAATTAATCAACATATTATACAGGGTAAGTCTTATTTACTGTTATATATTTAATAAACCACGATGCGCGTAAAGCAGATCATTCATAGAGGGCAAATCTTAATTTTAACCTTACAAAAATTAAAAAAGCATATTTCCGACAAGTTCACTCTTAGAGATAGTGATGTGTGGCTTAGGAGACTAAATAAAAATATTGAATCTTGCAACCAAATCGTTTCTAACGAAAAGGATTTATCTATTGGGTTAAAAAGAAAATTACAAACTACAATTCAACATCTGAAAGCTATTAGAAAAATTATTCTTAATTATCAACATAAGCATTTTGGATTGGGATTACAAAGTAGTAGCCGCGAGACAAACACAAATGAAATGGTTGTATGGGAATCGGTAGCGTCGTGTTTCCAGGGAAGAGTTCAGACCGGTGTCATAATTAATTTACTTCATAAAGATTTAATTCAATTTTTAAACGATTCTCGTCCAATATTTCAACAAAAAATTAGTCAAATTTTAAAGAAATTTTTATTGCTGAAAGTAAATACCACATTTTGCGGTGAATTTATTAAGGCAAAAAATGATGTCCAAGGCGAAGTTGATGTTAAATATCTGAGTACCGGAAATGCTGTAGTTGATTTAGGAACAGAATTGAATGATTGGTTTGTTGAAAATGTCCAAGATAAAATTTTAAATCAAATGTCAGAGTTTCAGGAACGTGATTCCGGGTGGGCTTTAAATAATATTATTTATTTAGAGATTAACATTAATAAATTTGAAATGGGTAACGGATCATCCTTCGTTGTGCGACATTGACCAAATTATGTTTATCGAGCGGGCTATACGAGGTGGAATTTCGGTGTGTGTTGGTAGATATGCGGAGGCCAACAATAAATATATGCCCAACTACGATTCATCCAGGGATGATTCCTATATCATGTACTTTGACGTCAATAACCTCTATGGCAAGGCCATGTGCGAGCCTCTTCCTTACGGAGGATTCGACTGGATGTCTCATCAAGAGATTGATTCATTTAATGTCATGAACATTCCAGATGAATCTTCCCAAGGATATATCCTAGAGGTAGACCTGGAATACCCGCAGAAATTACATGACACACATAGAGATTTTCCATTTTGTGCCGAACATCGAGTGCCCCCCAATTCAAAGTTACCAAAACTAATGACTACTTTGTATAATAAAGAAAAATACGTCATACACTATCGCAATTTAAAACAGGCTCTCAAAAACGGTCTCGTACTAAAGAAAATTCACAAAATATTAAAATTTAACCAATCTCGTTGGTTGAAATGTTATATCGATCATAATAATAAATTAAGAACCCAAGCAAAGACAAAATTTGGTATAAATTTATACAAATTGTTTAATAATGCCGCTTACGGTAAAACAATGGAAAACATTCGCAAGCATCGTATTGTTAAATTTGTTAAAGCGTGGGATGGTCGCTACGGTGCGAAAAATTTAATTTCTAGTCCTAGATTTCACAGTAGAACAATACTTGATAACAATTTGTTGCTTATAGAATTAAAAAAATCGGAACTTTGCTTTAATAAGCCACTTTATATTGGAATGTCCATATTGGATTTGTCGAAAACGACCATGTACGAGTTTCATTATAATTACATGCTTCCAAATTTGGGTCCCGAAAAATGTAAAATTCAATACATGGATACGGACAGTTTCATTTATAATATCAAATGTTATGACGCATATGAAAGCGTTATTAAGGCCGATTTAACAAAATTTGACACGTCTGATTATCCTAATGACAATCCCTATAATATACCGCAAATCAACAAAAAGGTTTTGGGGTTGATGAAGGATGAGACTAATGGCACCATCATTAGTCATTATGCTGGGTTAAGGTCGAAAATGTATACTTTCAAAATTTTAACGGGTTCGGTAGTTAAAAAGTCAAAGGGTATTCAGTACAATATTGTAAAAAATAAAATTTCATTTGATGACTACGTAGAATGCTTAACAAATTTTAGGGAAAAGTACGCCACTCAACGAACCATTCGTTCATACACTCACAATGTATTTAGCATCGAACAAACAAAACTTGCCTTGAGTCCTTTAGACGATAAACGTTATCTTTTGCCGAATTCATATGAAACGCTTCCGTGGGGACATTATAAAGTGCCGTAATTATTTTTTAATATATTTTTGTTACAGATTATGGTCAAACAACTTACATTAGAAAGCCTTTGTATTATAACAATTTGCGAAAATATTAGGTGTAGTGCTGATTTTTTGCGTGAGTCACCTTTGCCTTGGAAACTAACGATACTAATATTTAAATATTATTCGAAATATAGATGGAGGTACCTTAAACAACTAGCGCTCCAGTCTGATGGCAATTCTTTATTAAATTTAGAATTCATTCTGTTGAATAAGAGATTTGGATCGTCTTACAGAAATAGCATTTTGGCAACTCCAACCATTGATTTTGACGGAGAATCCGCTTACTGTTTATGGGTCAGTTATTACAGGATAAAATATTCGGAAATTTTAGTTTGTAAATCTTGTCACTTTATATTTCAAGTAGTTAAAAAATTTAAAAAGAAAAATTTTAGACTTTTATTGGATCACTATCATTTACAGCTGGATATAAATAATTTGAATGATGTATATCACGATAAACAATTTTGGTGTCAAAGCTGCTTTGAAGAAGTTTTGTTCACTGTAGAAACTGAAGATGAATGTAATTTAATGCTTCACAATGAGAGGAAATATGGAAAAAAGTTACGCTTTTCTGATAGTCCATTGAACTATTTATAATGTGGTTTTATTATAACATATGTAACTGTAGATAAGACTTTTATGTATTGATTGTATTCCATTGTATTGCAACAAGAATAAACATGTATATATTTAGACGCTATTTTCTTTTTTACCACCACCACAACACCGCATAATAATTACACAGAAGTTTGTAATTGTATAATTTATTTATTATATACATTATTACTATTTTACAATTTCGTTAAATGCTAAATTATTAAATTGTTCTAGTTTTCTTTTGCACTCTTGAGCTTGCATCCGCGCCACTTGCAAGTCTGTATTAAAAAGCGCAATTTGTGTTTCAATTTCGTTGATATTGCACTCTAATCCCGACAACTGAGACGCCAAGTTTCTTTTTAAATTGAATGCCTCACAAATGACACTTTTTTCTCTACCGTCCGTGAACACTTCGAGCCAATCAGCGGATGACGTTGGAGCTGCAAACGCTTCACTTGTGGTAGTTTTCTTCTTCTTCTTGCGGGATACGACCGACGCACTTTGTTTTCGTTTGGTCGCAGATTTTTTGGTTTGTTGCTCTACAGGAACGAAGCTGGACGGGAGCACTTCTGATGAAGGAAATTGCAACTCGAAATTTTCCAATAAATTATACAATTCGTTGGATGTCACAATTTTCTCTTGAGCCATCATATACACGTATTTATGTCAGAACTTCTAAATCGAGACTAAATTTATTTCAAAACGTCTACGTTGTCTACCCACGAATCGTGCGACTTATCCAATCCCAACCAGCGCACGAGAACCATATTGCCTCGTCTGCGCAACACCTTTTCGACGAGATATAAGTCCGGGTTAACTGTCTTCTGCAATTCTTCTTCATAAAATCCGCCCATTATGGGTTTACCCTGCATATCTTGAAGCAAATACGTTACGGGGTTAGTAACCCGTACTTTAACAATTTTAAACAATTCCGTGGTCCAATTCGGTGTATAACCTTTGTTGAAAACGTGCTTGACTTTGCTGATTCTAACGATGTCGCCGACTTTAAGTTTACGAGGACCGAATATTTTTATGCTACTATACGCGGTTTTCAAAATTCTCTTTTCGTTGCTCTTACTCACATCGATGGGTTTCGTACCCGTCGTTCTATGTTTTGTGTTATTGTATTCATCAACGATAGAGGCGAGCACATCGATCCATTTGTACGTCCCGCGTAAAGAAAAATGTCGAAACAATTTCTCTTTGAGGGTACGTATCACCCGTTCGACAATTGAGGCCTTTTTTATGCTATACGTACTATAGTGGTTAATTTTATGCTTATCCACAAGTTTCAGAAACGTGTCGTTGTAAAATTCTTTACCGAGATCCGTTTGCAAGTTTTGAGGGTGCCGTCCGTCCTTGAGAATTTTGGAAAACGCCTTGGCGACTTCGACCCCGGTTTTGGTTTTCAACGGGCGACACCATACATATTTTGAGAAACAGTCTATCACAACCAGCACGAATTTAAAATTTCTGTTTTGTTTGCTGTAGCGATCTAATTGGGCCAGATCCGCTTGCCACAGGTCATCCATCCCTCGTATTATAGTCCGGCGGCGAGCATAATTTCTGCGTGCCGGCTTGTGCAGTTCTCGAACCAGTTGTACCTTCTCTTTATTCATAATGTGTGTTCGGTTGCGATGGAGGATTTAAAACCCTTTGTTTCAATACCTTCATTATATTCTCATTTTCGTTCGTAAGTCGCTCCATTTTGGTTACAATATCATGAAATTGCTGTGACAAAACGGCGACTTTTGTCATGTGCTTTTCCAAATCTTTCTTTGCGCTCATTTCGCTTAGCTTTTGGTGGAAAACTTCGCGAAACTGCATAATTTCATTTTCGAGTGTAGTGCTACTCATTTTCAGTTGTTCTTCAAGACGCGAGAATTTAGTTTTGTCTTCAATTTGTAATCTTTTCGTGTACGCTTCGAGTTTCTGTCCAATAATCTTTCTCAATGCAATTTTTAATAAATTACTTGTCTCATCCACATATTTTTTGTTAGCCACGTCACCGTCATCGCTAGGCGTTTGGACATTGCAAATTTTTAAATTGTTCATATTGACGTTTCCGTCTGGCATATAGTCGAGGGCGCTTCTAATCACAGTATTAGTGAAGGGTCGTTTAGAGCGCAGCGCGCTAGAACGTCCAAACTTGTCCAGACTCATCGTTAAACTAACGTATAAAACCTGATTCTTTTAGCTCTTCAACGATTGAAACTATTTCATTATCATGAGACGTGTTGCCTGCGTGTTTCGACGCGATTAGTAATTTCAGACGCTCTACGAGTTCATTGACGTCGTCCCAGTATACATATTCAGTAGGAGCGTCATTATAACGCATATTATAACCTTGACCGCTGTACGAGTACGAACGCGACTGAGATTTTATTAAGGGTCGGATGACCTTGGTATATTTTGGTACAGTCGATGCGCCTTTCAGACGTCCGATCGCGTCCCTGTGCACCTGGGTAGCCTCCATTATTTTTTTATATTGTGCCAAATCGTCTTTTGTGTATGCTATGGGATCTTTTAAAAACACCAAATTATACAAGCCGCGGGTACCGGAATATCTCTCGCCGTCTACAATAATATCGCCAGATCCTTGATGAAAATCCAGCGATTTATTGCCGAGAAACCATTTGGATGATATTTTGTCGTAAACGGGTCCGTAAACAATATCGGTGTCGGGCGATTTTACCCATAAATTTTGAATATATGAATGGGAAATTTCTGGATATTGTTCCAGGTATGATTGAAGGGATGCGTTGGCCACGCTCGATGTGTCAAACACATCATCTTCCTCCTCATCGATATTTTGCATCTCAACGCTCTTATTGGGATCCGGCGTTTCCTGAATTTCTTCCATAGGCAAAAATGATACGTTAACCTTATTTTTTGTTTCTTCGTTCGGTTCCTTTTTGTGTTCCCGCTTGACACCTCGACGTTCAGTTTTTATTTCTGCCGGTGACGGTGATAGCTTTATTTTTGCTATACGTTCTAGCGGCTCGCTGACGGGTTTGAAAAGCTTCCGAATTGACGCATCCTCTTCGCTCTTACCCAATTTTAATGTTAAATACTTCTTTCGAATAGATCTAGACAACTCGTTTACTTTTTTTTTTAGCGCCGCGTCGGCGATGTCGGCGGACGTCGCCTTCATGACTGTTTCTATCGACAATTAAATATCGACTTTTATATATTTGTCGAAACCCTTGCGGTAGCGTCCGTTTTTTACGTCGAAATCTTTGACAATTATCAAACAGCCGTACTTTTCTTTCCAGCACTCGGAACAAATTTGTTTAAACGTGTCGTATGAAACGTCGGGTGAGACATGTTCATCATAAACGTGACGTAAATTCATGTCATCCTGTTTAAACAACGCGACAATATTGCAATTGTCACGTATCAATTGCTTGGGTACCTTGGAGTATGTCTGACAGAGATAAATAGCGTCGATGGCCTTGTGTCGACACATCGAAAAATACTCGCGAATTTTATCTTGCTTGTCGCACGCCACGTCGTCGAAAATAAACAGAGAATTCTCTTTCGCGTCGCTAGGGTCGATTATCGAGTCTCTTTCACTGTAGGGATAATATCCAACTCCTTTGACATTGCTCAATACGCGAGATAACAGTTGATATTTTGGTTGATACAACGACTTTGAGTAGACGTAAACATTTTCGAAACTTGCCCCGTTGGGGTTAAAGAGTAGCGCTAACATGGTGTTGGTTTTGCCGCAACCGCTAGGTCCGCAAAACACCGCCCTAAATGAATTGGGTAGCAGTTGACCGTGTTTGCTTTTGTTAAAGAAACCATCTCCGCAAACCAAATCTAAATTATCGATGGGGAGCTTGAGTTTCTGCTGCACCACCCGCATGACTACAATGTTTATTCGAGACACCTCGTATATATATATACGACACAAGCAATTTCCTTTAATTAGTATGTTATGCTTCGCGTCCGGAAGTGGTCTCGTTAACACGCTTATTAACAAGTTACCTTTTGAAGTACACATTCCGGGTTACCAGTTTTGCGGTCCCGGTACAAAATTGGAAAAACGCTTGAACCGAGGCGATAGCGGGGTGAATCCTTTGGACGCTGCGTGTAAGGTACACGACATTGCCTATTCGCAAAACAAATCGTTAGACGAACGTCATAAAGCGGATAAAGAATTGGAAACGCGTGCGTGGCAGCGAGTAAAATCTAAAGACGCAAAGTTTGGTGAAAAAGCTGCCGCATTCTTTGTCACCGCGACTATGAAAACTAAACGTAAGCTCGGTATGGGTCAACAACGGCGTCCCTCTGTTTCGTTTCGACAGGGTGTCGTGAAAAAGGTTCGCAATGCATTAAAGAAGAAACAATTGTTTCATATCGATAACCCTAAAATGCTTAGAAGATCGGCACTGGAAGCGCTTCGAGCTGGCAGAGCCGCTGTAAGAAAAGCGGGAGGACGTAAAAAAATTAGGGTACCTAGAATTATACCGTTCGAATCAAAATCGGGCGGTATTTTACCACTTTTACCGTTATTAGGAGCGCTAGGGGCTTTAGGTTCGCTCTCGGGCGGAGCCGCTGCTATCGCTAAAACTGTCATCGATGCGAAAAACGCACGAAAGAAACTCGAAGAGGACAACCGCCATAACCGAGCTATGGAAGAGATTGGAAAAAAGGGATCGGGTCTATTCTTGAAAAAGAGTCCGCGCGGCGGATTCGGTCTTTATCTGAAGAAACAAAAAAACTCCCAATAAAGCTACCCAGAAGGGCTCTATACGACGTCGATTTAATATCTCTGGCGCGCAAATTAAAAATTCCTCACTTCAGGGGTGTTTTTATGCGAGATAGTTTACCCCGTCGAATCAGATCGCAAGAATGCGGAATCGTAAATTTGGATGTTCGTCGAAATAGAGGAACCCACTGGGTAGCATACAAAAAGAGGAAGGGAAACGATGTTGAGTATTTTGACAGTTTCGGTAACCTTAAACCACCCGCGGAACTTGTTAAATATTTCGGCAACAGCGCCAATATCTACTATAATCACGATAGATATCAAAAGTTTACGCAATACAATTGCGGTCATTTGTGTTTGCAATTTCTCTATAAAAAGG